ACACACACACATACGACACACACACACACACACACACACACACACACACACACACACACATACACACGCACGTGCGCAAACACACGCTACATGCACGGTCAGACACACACGCTACATGCGTTTGCCGCGCACACCGAAACGCACTACGTTATTGCAGCGTCGCATCATGACGTTATCACAACGTCATCGGAGATACCTGCAGCGCACGACGTCATCATGACGTCATCACCACGTCATCACGTCGTCACTAGACGGTGCGAATCACTAGAGAAAGAAAGCGATCAAAACAAAAACAAGCGAGACTGTCGCCATGGTGAACCGTTACGTAGGAAACGATGCCACCCTCGGTGTGACGTCACTCACCTGGCTCCGCCGGAGCCTAAGCGGCCTGCTTTCTTGGTCGTTACGGGGCTATTCTTGCCGTCCTTGTTCTGTAAGGCCTTAATTGTGTTCATCAACGTCGGAGTTCCAACTGCAGGAGAGAAGAAAGCGGTGGTGAGCGGGGCGCCCTCTGGTGGAAATGACGCGGTGAATGTTATTCGTTACGATAGATTTTGAGGTTGTACTTATGTGTTACCGAAGAGCATTTGAACGGCATTTACAGGCAATCATCGACAATAATAAGCGAACGAGAGTAGAGACACATGAAGACTTTAGTAGTGAATACATTTCGTGTTTATTTACGATCATTTTACTTTTGAAACGTTCTAAGTGTCTGTGCCCGCTAGCGCCTTCTACCGCAACCAGCAGCGTGACGACAACATACCCGGCTTCACTGGATACGATATGGCGCCGGGTATACAAGATGGCGCAGAGGTCACACGCACCGCACGCAAAGTAGAAAGAAAAGAGAAATGCAAAATTATCAACAAACAAAGAGAACAGACGATGCAAAAACATGATTGATCGAGAAACCAGAATTTCAATGTGACCGCCGTTCATTGATAATGACGCGTGTGAGACCATAGGTATATCTATATAATTATCTATATCTATCTATATATCTATATGTATATTTATAATATATATACATGTATATATATATAAGTATCTACATACTCACACACATATATATATATATGTAGATATCTATGTGTGAGATGAGCAGAACGAAGCAAGCGACATCTATAATGTAATAATCGGTGAGGAAGCTGTCACTCGTGGCTGTCTGGCGGACTATAGCTTCGTACTGAACTCACACACTGCGTGGTAGCAGGCAGTACACAGCAGCTGTGCCAGAGCGCCGCACTCACACACGCAGGCTCACTGACTAGTAATCACACAGTGACGAAGCAGATGCAAGATTGAATAGAGCGGCTGGCTAGTGAATAATTCTTGTTTAATCAGAGCTTGCGAGTGGAGTTGTGTGTGCTGTTTCACCGGAGCTAAGGTGTGGTGTGTGTGTGTGTGTGCCTGTGTGTGTATGTGATAGAACAATAGACGCTTGCATTGCCAGCACTCAGGCAGAGCAAAACTGAGTACCTAGGTCCGCTTCGCTTGGTTCCTTCTCGGCTAAAATATCAGAATAATATGTCTTTAGTATATCAGATATCGTCATATTCTACTTTTCGTTCACAATGATTCGCAGTATCAACTGTACGCATCATTACTAACCCCTTCGCTTGCCCCGCCTTCCGCGGATTATCCAGCCAATCAGACTCACCGCCTGACGTGATTGACAGACAGCTCTAGCCAATCAGCGTCGTAATAGGAAGCACAATGTATAGAAACGTCACGAGGGGCGTGGTTACATTGTTTAGACGGATAGGTAAACAATTGCTGCCCCCCTTCCTAAATAATTTCTTACATTCTTGCACCCGAAAACATAAATAGAAAAATAGAAATAGTGTTCTAACATATCGGTGTGTTTTCTGGCAGTCATACACGGTCAGTTAATATCGCCAGAAGAGGGCGCTCCGCTTGTCGTATGAGTGCATGCCCTTGCAAGACGAGGCAGTACTAATGGATAATATATATATATATATATATAAATAAATAAATAAATAAATATATATATATTATTATACATATGCGTGTGATAGTTAGTGTGTTAAGTGAGAGTACTTACGTGGTACGGAATCCTTGAGAGACTCAGCTTGAATAGAACGATGGGTATAAGTTAGTATAAAACACTCACGTAGTCATCATCGTCGTCCTCGTCGTCGTCATTATCATTATCATTATCATCATCATCGTCGTCGTCCTCGTCGTCGTCATCATCATTATCATCATCATCATCATCATCGTCATCATCATCATCATCGTCCTCGTCGTCGTCATCATCATTATCATCATCATCATCATCATCATCATCGTCATCATCATCGTCGGCGTCGTCTCCATCGTCGTCATCATCGTCATCAACATCGCGAGCTCACGATAGCGGCACATGCACAGCGTTACGGCGCGATCTACACAGCATCCCGAACGCCGGATGCGCGACTACGTCTAATATCGTTGCTATGGTTACGGCATCGTTACGCGATGTGAGAAAGCTGCTACTGCCGACGCATGCGCGTGCGCTTACTATATCCGCATCTTTATATAGAAGTCCGAGAGAGAGACAGAGAGTGTGAGAGAGAGAGAGAGAGAGAGAGAGAGAGAGAGAGAGAACGCGCCAAGTTACCGACTGCGTTATAATTGCATTATTGATAATAATAAGTTAGTTAATACTTTGCTAATTAACTAATAATGCCGGACGGTTGCCACGCTCGATTAACACCGAACAAATATCAACCGATGCCGTCTGCTATATTACCATGGCAACCGTATATTGTGACACCTGGCGATGAATTGGCGGTTAGTGTCTCACAGCATACCACACCAGTACACAATAGGACAACATAACGTGGCAGCACACAGTAGGAGTCTAGGACAGTTCACAGCAGCTGTACACACGGAGGCAGTACACAGTGAGGTTACAGGAGAAGGTCAGGTGAAGGTCAGGTGAGAAGGTCACAGGAGAAGGT